CCATGGCACTAAACCATGCATGGGTGTGTGCTTGCACTCAGGGATGTGAGCTGTGATCGAGGCCTATTGAGAACTGCATATTAGATCTGAAAAAACAAATCAATATTAGAGTCTTGCAGAGGCTATGGTGTGATTTCTTCGTGTAGTACCGACATACCAAGAAGAAAATATAACTGTCTATTCATTAAAAGTTAGCTATATTGCATTCAATTAAGGTATCAAATTTTTGTGGTACATTTACATGTAATAAAGAGAAGAGAAACAGTAAAGAGTGTGAAGAGAAACAAAATTGAACAGTGCAATATTCTCCCATAGGAATTATTGTGTAAAGGTAATATTTTGAGCAAAATGGCATCGTGAAACGAGACAAATACTAATTAGAAAGAAATCGAGCATCAGAAATGCTTACGACATTGGCAAAAAATTAAAGCTTACTTACTTCTCCCGTCGCAGCTCCCACACTCCGCCGCTTCCTTCCTCCGTCGCGGTCGGCAGCATATTTTAGCCATTTCTTAATAACTGCCTCGATCTCTGCAATCATAGCCGTTTGTGTTGAAGCGTTGTCATAGCCCAATCAGTCAGTTTTACCGCTTCTATAGTGTTCGCATCTATCGAGACACCCGGTATAGTCTTTTAGATAATTGCTCAGCGCCCCCGACGATCATGGTTTTAAAAGAATAAAAAAACTTAAATTAGACGTAATTTTCTAAAAATAGAAAAGACGATTGGGTATCAAAAATAGTTATAAGATTTTAGAAAGATGCAGACGAGAAATTGATCTCAAGATGCTCGCCAATAGCAAAGTCGCTATAGATATGATGACGTACGTCATTAAACTTTACAAGATTTTTAAACGGGGTAAAACCGCGCAACTTTGGTACGTGGAGTTATAAAATTTGTTTACGAAATCGTCAATGCGAAAGTTAAAGTCGTGTGCGTTTTTGACGGTGTGAATAAACCTCCGGAAAAGAGAAAATGCGTTCGCCGGAAGAAACGAAACGAAACTTTTAGAAGATTTAAAACTGTTTCAAGCGGGGAAACTTTCGCAACTGCAAATGCGTTATCTGACGATTTTGATTAGTAAAATTCTAACCGCCGAGGCTGGTAGCAGCTTACTTCGGTAGGCACGAAAATAGCCGGTGCGATTCACGGATGCCGCGAGCTCGGCGGGTTGGACATGTGGTACTGCTTGTCAGTAGGTAAGTATCTGCATGATGGCTGTATCACATATACCTCACCCCTCCAGTGAATCTCTATTTCCAGCCATCGGCCGTATCTGACTCACGGCACAACCGACCATTTCTGTTAAGATTCCTTCCACCTGAATTTGTATGTCCATTTTATCTATCGTAATTTGTCTCACTGGGGCATGTTTCATTTTCTTTAGCGAATGGTTTGGTATCAAATATCGCAATCCCCCGAACTTGGTGCCGCATGGTTGTTTACACAATGTGTCACAGGATGCTGAAACTATCAGTGACCTCCCTATAGACTCCATGTCTGTATGGCCACCATACTGGTACCAAATGATTCTAGAATCAAGTGAGACGTCGTCATTAAACTCGTACCGTTTTTGACCACATTTCAGAACTCTTTTCTGATGTGTGTTTTCACTAAGCAATTTGATCCTCACGTCATTAAAAGATGTATGGTGAACAACATCTATGGGTTTCACAATTGTAATTGGGATTCCTGAGTCTTCCTCTCGCAATACTGCTAATCGCAACCCAGATGTGACAAGCTCATACAATGTGCACTCATTCAAAGGTTCCCAGCTAAGATAACAGAAATTTGTAAGATGACAATCAAATGTACATTTACCGCATTGCATGCCCGACCAGTCATTGTCGTGAGAGCTCGAATTAACAACATACGTCTGCCTATTTAGAAGTTTTGATGTTTTGGCAAAATCGATGTCATAACCACCCCCTCCGCACTTGTAATCACACATCTTTTCGAGGTTAAAGTAGTCTACACCAACGTACAAACCAACCAGTGTAATATCACGAGTCATGTTTAGAAACTTTAGCTGTTTTAAAGTGGACCTAGATCGACTTGAAGTATTAGAATTCCATCAAATACAATCGCCGGTAGTAGCTGTCATATCACCTTGAGTGAGATTAACAACCCTTTGATGTTCGTAGTATCGCTTGCCAACGATCGAAGATGTTAGAGACCGAGAACATTCCATCTCACCCCACGCTTGGTGCGCGCAAAGTAGAATTAAGAATGCCATAACCATCACGCGCGCATCCACACCAACAATAATTATGCCCAATATAATTAGTCCTGTAACAGCATACGAAGTCACGTACTTTCGTCGAACCAAACTGGCAAACCTCTCAGCTTTCTTCTTGACATTGGTGTACTCATCTACAACACGATCCTGAATGTTCCTAACACTGCGATTTTTTCTTTTGCTGGTTTTTTCTTCTTCCAAAGCAAGCATCACATCAACAGCTTTTTGATAGTGGCTACTGAATTGTATAGAACATTTCCTACAAAACAGTTTGGCATCATGGGTGTACTCCACCCAGTAACTGTACCCTGGGTAAATTCTCATGCACTCCATTCCTAATGAGATGTCTGTTGTGTTAAGAAAAGGTGCTCTGGTGCACCGTGTATTATTGTATTTACTAGCACACCAACCTTTGGACCCCTCAGGACAAGTATTAGCTGAGCGACGTATATCGAAGTCATGAACTCTGAATCTTGCAACACATGTTTGTGGATACTGTGTTACAGTTACGCCATAAGAAGGCAAAGCAAAACAAGCAACAATAACTAATATGACTGTAATGATGACTGGAAAACCCATATAACTGAACAAAAAGAAAATCACTAAGAGAACCGCGGAGTTTATGTAGGGATTCCAAGCGGCAAATTCTAACTTCAAAGAGTGCGCTAATTTTCTTATACCCGTCAGATAATAGTTGCTGTCATACCCAGACAATTCCTCTACCCTGGAGTCAAGCCATTCTACCATTTTTTTACTATGCGAAAGGAGATCTTCTTCTATGGAAGATCGACTCTGCAAACCACAAGTATGCGAATGTGAGCCATCTAGGTGACTGTACAGAAGCAAGTTGATACCTCCGTCTTTTGTACACTGCTTACTAAGCTCACAAATATTGCGCCACGTCTCTGAAGTTAGCCTTGTCATCCTACAGTGTATTATATCACATGAAACACAAGCAACCATGTCCGAAGTGCCATTACACCTCGTAGTGAAACTCCGCAAAGCGTTGTAAGCAATATTAATATGAGTAGAGTTATTGTCAGCTACTATTATCCTAGTGCAACGCTCTGCTGAAGCCTGTGTGATAGTAACAAGGTTGAGAATCAAAATAGCCATTAACATTGTCCTCAAGAAGAAGATCTCCCTCACAGTGAAGCATGTATTAAGGCCATTTAACTTGCATGCACCGATAGCTATTTCCACACCACACAAACGACTAGCCTTTCTTGTGGAAGTTGACCTGTAAACTATAGTGTTGCTTGCCGGTTGGGAGCGCGTGGAATATCTCTGGTAGCCACCTCCACGTTGTCTTGCGGCGTTGCAATGGTCCTCACTGCATTCCTTTCCTCCCTACAGCTCTTTTTCCCTGTAGAGGGTGCTGCCGGCGTCTGTCGTATTCCGTATTGACCCTCCTCGCCGGTTTCTGTGGCGTCAGGAGGCGCTGTGTGTGTTAGGTGTGTATTGTGTTGCATACCTGAGGTACTCCCATTTCTTCCCTTTGCATTGCCAGCTGGCTCGACATACAGTGGTTTATCGGGTACGCTGGTGTCGCCCTGGCGTGCAGATGGTCTAGGTGCCTTGGTCACTACGTTGATGTTCGAGCTCGGTGCAAAACCGCCTCCCTCCTGTTCCAGCTGATCCATTTCCCTGGTATTACCTCTGGTTGGTATATCACATTTCCATTTACGACCCAATCCACTGCCTTTTCCGCTTACACCAGTGAGACTATAGCGGCAGGCACAACTGATGATGAATAGTAACATGCCCCTGAGACGCTTGATGATACAGCTGCAACCAAGTTGTCTATGGTGTGAAACATCTCATTGCACGACGGGTTGCTCTTCGCGGCTTTCTTCATACTGAAGGGAACCAAGACCCCCTCAACCATGATATCCTTACCGTACGTACACACAGAATCAGATATCCATGTTTCCTCTAGCTTCAGGTTGTGTCCAAATCCCATAAATGTGCTCCTCAGGTCCTGTAAGATACCTCTTACCTTTCTCTCTATCGCGAGGCGAGACCCATCAGTCAGTTTTCCATCCACCATTTCTTCAGCTGGAAAATCTGGATTAAGACATTGTTCCCTTGTCCAAGTATTTGGGATTTTGTATCCATACCTGGACAGTACCATGTCAAATATGATTGTAGAGAATATCGTCCATTGATATTGGGCCAAGCCTTCTAATCCTCCTCGCTGCCCGATGTGACAGTGTTCCCCATAATCCATCTCAGACGTCTCTCTGTAAAGTGAGCATTTTCCATGCCTCTCAGGGAATACCACGTCATGAAAGCCGTCAGCTAGGTACACAACTGACTCGGAAAAGATCTTGTGTGTCGACTGGAATAGATACCGGTATCCACATAGCTCGTCCATCCTCTTGCCTAGTATTTTTATGTACTCACCTCGATTCATATTCCCCCACGATTGAAAGTCTACTGATATAGTTGCAAAAACATGGTCCCCTATTGGACATTGCTGAAATGAGACCTTCTTCTTCTTTGTCTCTTCAGACTTCATGGTTATATCAGAGAATAGTGGTGAAAATCTTTTAGCTGTTCTCTCCCTAAATACTTGTAGTGTTCTCATTTTGTGTGTCATCACGGCAAACATCCGCGGGATGTCTTTTAATTCCTTTTCTTTAGGCTTTACACCAATGACTAAGTCATCATTGGATATCCTTCCTTCCTCAAGGTCTGCTATTATTTCAGGGAGTGATATGAATGGGGTGGTGATGTAATGCAAAAGCAACCTTCCTGGTTGTGTTGTCATATCCCCTGCATGCTGCGAATATTTCTGTCGATTTGTAAGGGGACATTTTTGACCAGTACACATCTATGTACATGAAGTGATTTGCTAAAATGGGTAGTTTCCAGTTTGTCATTTCTATCAACGAGGCATATAATTTAATTACATGTGACTCTGATGGGTTTGAACCTTTGCACACAGATAGGAAGGCCTCGATAATGTTATTTGCTCTTGTTGCGCTGTCCCCTCTTCCTCCATGCTCAGCGTCACATATGACATTATATTCCCCATTTTCCGGTATAAATTCCCTCAGGTAACAAACTGTCCGTTGTCTTGTTAAATCTGAGATCTGGGATCTGAGTCCTTCTACTCCCATGGCTATTCTTGTATACCTTTTTACTTCTGGGATCGCTGATGGAAACACGCTTGCTAGCGCATCCTCGGCACTCATCTCCGCGCTTATCAATGTGTTGAAGCATATTTTAGTCTGTGTTAGTTCGGGATCTACTCTGAGCCTATGCCTTATGAATAGCGAGGAGCAGCCTCCTGATCCATCTCCTAAGGCGAATAAAAATTTCATCGTGCTTCCTTGATCAGTCATTTTCTTGTAAAGCTGCACCCACTAATAACTCGATGAGGTTGCACCGATAGGTTTCCAGAGGTCATTCAGCCCTCGCAGGAGATCACTTGTGGGTCTTTCTTTGGACGGTGCCACTAACTCTTTGTTTGGTATTATGTCTCTGATCCCAATCCTGATCATGTGTACTGGGTCCTCTGCTAGATTTATGTTGATACTCCCATCTTTGAGCGGGTCTGATTGTTTCATCATATCTTCTGTCTCTTTTTGGGTTTCTTCCCAGTCTATTGATTTTATCAACATGCCTAACCCACCTGGATAGACTGATGCCACGTGCCTGAATAACCCAATGAGGTAGTTTCGCAATCCCATATCAGAGATGTTCAAGTAGTCCTCTAAGCACATTCCCAGTTTTGCTTTTTCTAGGTACATAGATGAGTTTATGTTTAGTACTGTCCATGCCCTGACGAAGATTCTGTCTAGCTTCTCATTAGTCCCCATTGATAAGATGAAGAAATAACTCATTATGTGTCCGACTTCTTTCATGGTGAGAATTCCCTCGATGGACAGTATCGCCTTATTTACTGGTTTGATCTCATCAGCCTTCCATTTTTCATAAAGGCTTAGGAACGCGGAATACCCCGCTTTTCTAGTTTCCTGTGGTGTTGTTGGTATGGATGCTGGCAGATATGGGAGTAGGTGTGCAGCTATCATTTTTCCTCTGTAGAGGTTAGACACGATTAGTCTCGTGAAGAAGAGTTCAATGGACGCTGAGTTTTCAGCGAGGGCATCTAGAAATGCTTGATCGAGGTATCCTATGATCTTCTTCTTCGTTACGTCTTCTCTGGGCGTCAGTTGTTTTGAGAGATATCTCGTTGATGACCAGATCTTCTTGGATAGAATGTACAACATCCCTCCTAGGAGGTAGGATGTTGGGTTGGTCGGTAAGAAGACGTTGTGTTTTATTCCTCCCCTTCCTAGGAACTCAAATGAGGAGCTCTGAGTGTGTGAGTCGCATATGCCCATTTCCAAGAACCCAGCGGACTGGGATCCTATCCTCTCAAGTTGACTTTCTCCTAGTTCGGCCACACTATATGAGGGTCTCAGCCTTATCAGCGGGATGGTCCCTCTATTTATGCTGTCTCTACCAAGGATTAATTCTTTTGGCGCCTTGACTACCGGAACCCGATTTCATCCTATCTCTAGTGGGATCTCATTTATCTCGACCAGGCAGTCTTCACAACCTATGTGGAAGTGGTAAGCAGAACAGAATCTGCTGTTTACACTGTGATGATGCGCCATTTCAGAGCCAACAATCATTACCTCTTGAAAGAATATCGGGAAGTTCTTTCCCTCTGCGGATAAGCTTCCTAGAGGGTTGGTGGAAATACTCATATTCGTTCGTTTGGTTGAATTTGTGGACGCATAGCAGGATCTGTCCATGCTCATTGTGAATATTCTGTGGTGTATAGTCCCGGAGAACTGTGCGTCCAGGATTACGATCTCCTCTAAGGGTATCGAGGATACTGATTTGTATATCTTGTTTATCAATTTGCGTAAGTTGGATTCTTCTAGAGTTATTCTATCCCTTATTTGTAACATGGCCATTTGGGCCGAGAGTCTTGATTCTCCCTTGGTTACTCTGATATTCGACAACACACGCGATTTGTCTTCTGTCCCACTCCCGATGTATGGCAAGTTGGGGCCAGCCCTCCAGTTTAAGAGATGTTGGTTAGTTATATACTCCAATATCTGTATAAGCATATGGGGAGTTTCTCCTTCTTCACAGTAAGAGCACCTCCCATCGAGCAGAGGTTCAAAGTTGGAAAATAACTCGAATGGTGATGCTGTGGTCACCCCATGAAGATGATCTAGCTTCCATGAATCTTGCCTCCATTTGATTGCTCGCTGTGTTGAGCAGCACCAAATTCCATTGAGTTCCTCCAACGTAATTCTCCACATCAAGTAGTTTACTCGTCGTTGTTCGTTGCTTATTACAATTTCCCCCACACTTTCTCCATGTTGTTCAAGAGCTACAACATTTAGCGTTGCAGATTTCTCAAATTTACTCATAATCATGTCACTGATCCTCCTTGGTGTGGCATCATTTATGATCTTCGCCACTTTTGGATTGAATGGTTTCATCTCCAGTAGCGCTTCAGTTATCTGGCTTTGCTCTATTTCTGTTCCCGTTATGAGTGCGCGCAGCAACCTGTTCTTGACAAAGGTTGGTTCTTTTAGGGACTCCTTAACGAATATTCGGAGGGCATTCTTCAAAGTTGGTGAATTTACGATGTTCACAGCGAGGGGATCCTCTAGGAGCATCTCTAGGTCCACCTCGGTTGAAGAAGGAACGTTTAAGAGTCTTTTAACAGACTTCTGCAGCATCAGAGGCTCTTTATGAGTTATTATCTTTTTAGCTAGAGCTAACCCCCTTTCCACCGCCAATTGAGCTAAGTCCGCCCATATTGTAGGTGTCTGGAGTGACTTAGGTAAGATATCGACTAACGATCTCGTAAGATTCACCGACGACTCATGAAAATAGAATGTGGGTAAGGTAAGGTCAGCCGAATGAGCACTACAACCCGATTGCAGTGATACAAGCTGACGTGATGCTATTTGAATGTCCGTAATAGTGGGAGCCTGCTCATTGGTAGTCGGACATGACACTGTTAACCGAAACGTCTTCGCCGGTGACAGAAGCCAGTGACCATAACCAATATACGTGATCAGATGCTTCGGGTTAGCACACATCTTGACCCTCCTTTGGCAATAGGTTTGTATGTGCTCGGCTTGCCTTAAAAATAACGCCACTAAACAATCCTTGGACCCCCTAACATAATAGATTTCAGATTCGGCTTGGCAAATGTTATGGGTTCGTGAAGGCACTTACGTACTAGGTTTGGCTCAGGATAAAAATAACGTGTCTTATCCTGCGCAAATGCAACGTATTCCTTATCTAACACATAATACACGTGCGCTTGGGTGTCATTAATGTATTGAGGTGCGGGCAATACTTGAAAAATGTTGAAAATCTGGCCGACATGTTTAAGTGGTAGAAACGTGAGTATATGGAACGAATTTTCGACTGGTATAACTATGGTCTGCAATAGACTGTAGTAATACAAAATAGTGTCATCTAATGCTTTCGGCATTGCCAGATAATTTGGAATAACCTGCTTAATACTCTGTAGAATACTTAATAAATGCGTTGGTGGTACGAGTGAAATCGGTAATTGGCCCGTAAGGCAACTGGTTAACGAATGTTCCAGGTCTGCGACAATATTCGTGACGTCTTGTAAGATCAACATCATCATGTCAATTGTTGTCTGTAGCCTAATTATGGCTGCCGTTCTAGTATTAAGAGTAATAGTCAAAGTTAGTAGCTGGTCGTTTATACTATTGACAAACTGTCGCATCGTCTCAACGCCATCGATTAGTTCGTTTAGCGTATCGTGATTTAATTTAACCTGTGTCTTTGTCAGATTAAAAACGGTCAATGAATCTTCTATGGCATGTTGAAATGCACCTTGAGTAATCTCAAACCCAGATAGTCTCGCTTGCAAGTCATTCAAATCATCTTCCGTCGCTACCCCATACAAGGCCTTTTGAAAGCGGCCGATAAACGGTAATAATGATCGCTGAAAAGCGATGCCGCGTCGTAGCAAACATAGACGTTAACCCCTCAATGCGCTCTGATAGCCTGTGATAGCGCTGCCTAAAATCAGCCACATGCTTCTTTATAAATACTTCAATAATTTCACGAAACTGCTCGTTGTTTGCGTTGATCTGTTGTTGCTGTTGCATTCGCACTGTGTTGTTTAGCCATAACGGTGTTGGTGTTGTTGTAACATTCGGGTGCAACCATTTGCTAAACACTTTTCTCAATGAGGGAACATTTTGTCTCGACATGCCATCTCTGTCACTGGTAATAGGCGCTCGTGCCGCCGCTGGCGGGGACCGCTTGGTGCGTTGGTTAAACAAATACTCTATCTGGTCATCAATTCCCCTCATATAATTCTTCACAAGCGATAAGTCTAACGTAAACACGATTGTCCAACTACTCTGCGTTATCGCGAGCGTCCCTTTAGGTACGAACACTTCTCCTTTTATCAACGTCATCGTGAGCACCAAAGTCGCTACACACAGTCCATACCTGTAATGAAACGAAAGATTATTGAGCTGACGTCTGTCT